GCTCCAATACCGTATATGTCTGTATAATCGTAGTATAATCTAACAGTTTGATACTCGCCTTGACAGCGAGAGGCTACAGGTTTTTTTCACGCTATAAGTACGTTTTCATACAACTGAAAATTATTATTTTTTTCTTCTTTTTTTTTTTTGGTTGGAGAGTGATACGAAACTAACATCTTTATTTTCCTATAAAAAGCATTTGTCATTTTTATTTATCTATTTGCTTTCTGTATGTGTTTACAGTGACTTTCTTGGCTGTGACAAAGTAAAGACCAAAAAAATACATTTATATATATATTATATTATATTATATATATATATATATTATATAAGAAGAAGAATATTAAACGTGTTAAATATTCTACGACGAAGCTGTCCTTGACACAGATCTATCAGGTCTGCTTTAACAGACTTGACCCTACATCACGCGTCGGGTTCTGGCGCTGTCTTAAAAAATGTATATATCCTACCGCGTCTGTTTACGAAATGATTATTTTGAATGGCAATTCTACACTATAAAAAAAATTGAGCATCTCAATATGTTGACAAATACAAAGTGATTTTGTTTGTACTTTAGTTCACTAAATTCTAAAATACTATTATTATTATTATCATTATTATTATTATTATTATTATTATTATTATTATTATTATTATTAATATTACTATTATTATTATTTTCATTATTTATTTACATAGAATTAAACATGAATGAATTAATAGTAATTATTAAAATGAATCAACTGTACCTTGTGTCGCAGTAAATTTTTGAGGTAGTTGTCCAGTATTTAACCACGTCACACTCAACTTGAGAAGTTGCAGATCTCAAGAACACTATGTTCCCATTGTTTTCATTTCCATCCCCGAAATTGAATTGATTGGAACTGAATTCTGAAAGCATTAATATACAAAAATTAACAACGTGTTGGAGGGAGCCGTCTATAACATCAGGAAGGGGCGACTCAAAAAAAAGTCAACAACATCGACATATCTTGATCACCAAATCAGGCTATATACTTCAAAAAGACTATTAAATCCCCCTAATGGTAAACGATATCACTTGACCAAGATTGGCTAATGGTACAGTACAGAAGCATATTGCATAACGAATGTAATAAGCCTCAAGATCCGTAAGAGAGATGTAAATTGTGCCGAAGAAGATCTGCAGAAAATTTACATTAACATTGACAGAGGGTTCAATGAATCAAAAGGCAGCCCTTCTATAGCAACGTAGAGCGTCCGGTCGTTCAATGCAACAGAGAGGGTGATGACGACGACGATGATGATGGTGATGATGATGATGATGATTATGATGGTGGTGGCAGTGGCAGTGGTAAATGTTGATGATGAGGAGGATAATGATGATGATAATATATGCATCTATTGTTGAAAAATTATACAACACTAGTTTTAAAATAAATTTAACTTTGGCCAAAATCTAGGCCCCTATATCTTTATTATATGAGAATAATAGACAAAATAACAAAATTACAGACATGACACGGATATATTGTGCTGGATCTCATTTAAATCTACGTGATATTTATTCGAGAAGCCGTGTAATCAGACTTAACATATACTGAGCCCTTTAAATTCACGTGCTCTTAATTTCACGATGCAGAACTAAAAGGTGTGAAAATCACGAAAATAGG